TGTGTGTGTGTGTGTGTGTGTGTGTGTGTGTGTGTGTGTGTATGTGTGTGTGTGTGTGTGCGTATGGAGGTGCTCACCTTGAACATCGTACTTCCCAGCTGTGCAGGGGACATGCTGACTACAACTCCAGCCGACTGCAGGGCTGCAATTTTCTCTTTGGCTCCACCTTTCCCACCAGCAATAATGGCCCCAGCGTGACCCATCCTGCGACCGGGGGGAGCCGTTAGCCCCGCGATGAAGGACACCACGGGCTTCGTGTTAGCGCCCTGAACGACACACAATAAAGACGAAGGAAACTGAGAATGAATTTGAGTGAAAATGGGCAGGAAAAAAATCTAGATGAGCTACAAGGGAAGGTGTGATTTAAGTCTGTTCAGCAAAACAACGCAGAAAGAAGAAAATAGGAAGATTGAACGGTGAAGGGGGAGGTGCACAGAAATCCCAAGAATGAGTTTTCTGCATTTTATTCAATCATTAAACACAAAGCACCTCGTGCCCTCCCATTAGAGAATTCAATACTAACAGGCAAGTCTAACCAGCCATCTCTGTCTAAGGCTGCATTATTAAAACAAAGGGTCAATCAAGCCATTTAATTGCATGGGCGGGTGTGTGACCAGATAGGGGCTCAGGCTCCTGCCATTTCATATCATCTCATTTCTGAAATGGTAATTAGTCATGCAGCCAGTGATTAGCTCAGTGCTTGTCTATGCTGCCTGCTTATTGATGGATGTTGCATTCAGCAGTTAAGATCATCTCCAAGGTGAAGAGAGCTAATATTTCATCTTCAGCAATAACATCATAACCAGCAAGAAGGACGAAAGCGATGCGAGTGCGCACGCACGGTAGCTAATATTTCATACTTGGGAATAACATAATTGCAAAAGACGGCTCTGTGTGTGTGTGTGTGTGTGTGTGTGTGTGCGTGCAGGGTGAGAGTATACAGGCTGCAGCTCATCTGGCAGACAGCATTCAGAGAGTGAATGTGGCAGGTTTAACAGCCAAATCAACACAGTGAGGTCCTTCAAAGATGCACACATGCTTCTGCTACCGTTTCAGCACCAAGTTTAAAGACGACACTGGCAGTAACAAGATGGCAGCCCCTAATTTAGACTTGAGATGACTTTTTTCATTTCTCTCTTTTTTTGTTTTTATAATTGAAACCAGCGGGAAATATATCAGCCAGGAAAAACGTTGAGGATCAAAAAGCAGCACTAACGAGAGCGTTAGGACATGCAGAGATGAGGAGGAAAATGAGGGGAGAGAGCGCGAGAATATGATTTTCAAGTTCTCCGATACATCTGTTCTGTCCACTGGAAAAAAAAATCGTGAGCACAAAACAAAATTAGCTATTCTAAAATCAAAGCACGTTCCGAATACACAAAACGCCCTCGTGTGAATCAAGCCTTAAATCTACCTCGAGCAAAACAGGTTTAATTACTCTATTAATTCCTGCCTCTCTTGGCACAAAGTAACAATGCATGGAGGGAGGGGATTCATCCAGCTATTCACTTTACCTGTTCTTATTTTTTGTCTTTCACTGTTAGCAGTGCAGATTTATTACCCTAATTATGGGACTGAGAAGAGAGTTTCACTGTCTGAGTGCTAACCTGACAAGAGGAGTGCTTTGTTTTTTGCAATTCAAACTAAAGTGTTCCAAAGTGAGGAATCATTATTACRAGTTTCAAAAGTCAAACTCAAGTGAATATAGGTTGCTGTCCTAGAAACAAAAAAAGCAACTTTGCTTGCTCCAAACTGCAATTTCAATTTATTTTCCATGTTATTTTCACAGAATTGCAATCTGTTTGGTTAAACCAAAGAAAAGCAGGCCGAGAAAAAGTTTGAAAACCTTAACTATTAAAGAAAAATATATTCTTAGCCAAACTGCAGTGATATTCATTTCATTGTTTTATTGAACCAGATTAAAACCCCACTGAGATCAAGATCCAATTTGCAAGAGGTTCCTGGAAACATAATATGCACAATTACAGGGCTCTCAAGTTTTGACCTGAGCTTGGGGTGRGATTTCGAGCCGCTGAACACTGTGGCCAAAAGTTGTTTTTGACGTCCTAAAAGTTGCTAAATAACGTCATCATCYAATTTGCATATTTGGACTTTTGCCAACAATTGTGATCAGGGCTGTATGGTATTTAATGAAGGAGAAAACAGTGTGTAAAAATCACTCTGGTGGGGGGTCTGGGGGTCCTCCCCCAGAAAATTTTGAATGAATTAGACGCCATTTCCTGCATTCTGGTGTATTTTAACAGGCTGTTAAACAGACTTTTACACAAGTAAACACTTGGTGAGTATTCTATAAGTCAAGTGGAAGAGGTTCTCAAACATTTTGGGTCTGGGGAAACCTTACAAGAGTGAAAAATTYGAGGGACCCCCTCATAAAAGCCATGCTGTTTTAAAAATATTATTTTAGTACCTGAATTCCATGGGAATAGAAGAGAAGAGTCATTTGCAGCTGGGGTTGTTGTGTGAGGCTTCAGAAGTAGGCTGGTAGAAGTAGCTGTGAGTGTTTATTAATTTATTTCTTAAAACCAACAAAAACCATTAACATCAAAGTAAATCAATTATTGAATAATAAAGGTACAAACAGAAGAGGAAAAATATCGTATATCTGCCCCTGTTAAAACTCCAAGCACTAACATCATGTGAGGTCTTCGTTATAAATTCTGACCTGCAGACCTGCTTTAAAAATAGCCGGGTTATCCCTTTATTTGACATGGCTCTGACGCTGATCCAGCTGTTTGCAGGTGATGTGATGCACGTGCAGCATATCCTCGTGAGAACAGTTATTTTAAAACTACGAYTAAAAACATAATTTGTGTGCACAACAGATAGAAAGGATCGGTCTGAGCTGTGATGATGGATGTAGACAGAGCTGCTGACCTGGTTGTTGGGCAGAGTTGTAACCAAGTACAAATACTTTGTTACTGTACTTAAGTAGAATTTTTGGGTATCTGTACTTTACTTGAGTAATTATTTTTCAGCCTACTTTTTACTTCTACTCCTTACATTTTATAAAAAGACAAGAAGTATAAAGTTGTTCCTTTTATTTCATTTTTATTTGTTCATTCAGCTTGTTGTAAAAATAAATACTATCCATATAAATGGTGCCTCCTAGATGGACTGAATTTAATTGTGGTTGAATGAGAAGTATAAATATATAAAACTCTGATAGTGTATTAGTTTGCACACAAACAAATCATGTCACACTCCAGCAGGACATAATCATTAAAATAATAGTACTGTTCTTAAGAAGTATTTGTATTTCATGAATTAAATTATTGCATTTGACTGCAGCCCTCAGATAGATTTTCATTTTGTAGAAAAGTTTTGTGCAGCCTTGATGTATGTATATAAAGTGAAACAGCTGGACTAGTGCATCCTAAATTTAACATCAATTCATTGTTTTAATACAACATTATTTTCTGCAGTTTTTGGGGTGGTCACCTCCTAATAAATGTCCTTGCAGAAAATCTAACTGCTCATTTTAAATCAATAGTTTTACTTTTAATACTTAAGTACAAAAAATATCAGATACTTTAAGACTTTTACTCAAGTAATATTCCTAAAGGAGACTTTAACTTTTACCAAAGTCATTTTTTGGTAAGATACTTGTACTTTTACTCAAGTATCACTTTGTGCTACTTTATACAACAATGTTGTTGGGTCTGTGTCTCTCAGCTGACTTCAGTCTGACCTCCCCTTTATCTCAGAAAATATCTGTTTATTGAACTCATTAGGCTGCATCTTGCACAAACTTTTTCCTTTCCCCCTCTTGGTTTCTCTGCTCCATACATCTCTTTCTTCATTCTTTCTAACATGTTTGTTAATTTTTCCAGCGCGGCTCACCTGTTTTCTTTATCTTTTTTTAATTTGGGACGGGGAGCACAGTTGGTGAACATTGAAGGTTGGTGCGAAAAATACGGACTGGATAAGAACCTGGCATGTCCCTGTGTGTAACACCATGGGTTGTGGTGAAAACGTGGACTGGATTTATATCAATACTTGTATTTTTATAATGATAAACTGGACCGAGGTTGCGTTTTTGGCRTTAGTCAGTTCTCAGCATGAGAAAGTGGGGGTGTGGCATGAGAGCTGTAAAACCCTCAGCTGYGTGTCACTYTCAATGCGTGAGACTTGAGATATGGGATAAGATAACTATGGGATAAGATAACTGTCAGAATTATTGTATGTGTAAGAGTCTAAATTTGTACATGTATGTTTATGGACTTACATGTACAAATTTAGACTCTTACACATACAATAATTCTGACAGTTATCTTATCCCATACTTGAGAGCCCTGCAATTATGACATCCATAATCCTTTAGGTTTATAACAAACGTAATTTTAAGACAGTTGACAGACCACTGGGACCACCGATGAAGACTCAAATGTTGAAAATAATCCACTGTTTAAATCTGACAGCAAGACAGAGTTATGAGAAATGTTAATGGACTGAACTTATATAGCATTTTATCAAGCCCAGTTGGACAATTACAGTCATGCACACATTCACACGCTGATGGTGGTAAGCTACACTGTAGCCACAGCTGCCCTGGGGCACACTGACAGAGGCAGGGCTGCCATGCACCGGCGCCACCGGACCCTCTGACCACCATCAGGAGGCAAGGYGGGAGAAGTGTCCACTCCACCAGAGGACACCCCAGAGTTCTGTAAATTATCTTAGAATTTCCAGTTTAATAGTACGGTAAATGAAACTAAAGGATTGTTTTGTTTACAAAGTCACATTTTTCACGCCTCGTTGCGGAGTGGCCAGGACCTAAACTAAAAATATTAAAACTAGTCTGCGTCTCATTTCACAAGGACTAAATTGTACACTCACCATCTACTTTATGAGCTACAGAAGACAACACTGGGTGCCTCTRCAGTCAGCTAAGAACAGGAATCTGAAGCTACAGTTCACACAAACCTCACCAAAATCTGACAATAAAAAAAAAATCATAAACATGGCTTGATCTGATGAGGCTCGATTCATCACACTCCAGTGGCCTCCACAGCCACTAGATCTCAGTGCAATCAGTCACCTTTGGGATGTGAACAGGTCTGCATGTGCAACAGACAAATCTACAGTAACTGTGATGCTATCATATCAATAATATGTTCCCAAATTTTWGTTTTTGCAATTCTGAAAGAAAAGGGGGTCCAATTTTTATTTTTACCTTAAAGATTTAGTGGCTTGGAACGCATATCTTATCAATAGTGTGTATAACCAGCAACAGTGCTTATCGTGTCTAACAAAAAAAATAAAACTATTTGTTGACACAAATCCGCTGCATTCATCTTCAACCATTATAAATAGCATTTTCAGAGGGCCTCTGCATGCAACTTACTTGATTTTCCATTGCTCCTTCAGTTCAAAAATGGACAAAATCAGGATGATTTCAAAATCACTGAATCAATCAGATTTTTTTTGTCCTCCACTTATTTTAAAATGTTAATAGGCAGTCAGATTATTCACCAACGCTGACACACAGCAGAGGAGACAGCTCTGCCTACGTGAGATGAGCGGCTTCTGTGACTTGACTACAAATGCGTTCAAAAGGCGAAAAGCCAAAATTGATTCAAAGTGAAAACAATGCGTTTCCATATCTTTGTACGCTTCTTGACGATTAAAAATCAGGTCTAAGAACAGTATTTCATGAACAATTTTCTACACAGCTGACTTTCAAAGGGAAATCTGCAGCTTACTCCCACACTTTGCTCAGCTTTTTCATGCTTGTGTTTCATTTGAACTGTCCCTCACTGTCAACACTCTGGGTGTCTGGATGGGTGAGTGGAGGGGAGGCGTTTGTACTTTATTTGTTCAGAGAGAGAAGTTATTCTCTTGAGACGCTAGCGGGAGATTTGCATGCATTAGAGCAGTCGAGGGCAAATCAAATCCATTTCTCAGCTCAGGAGAGCCACGCGCTCGCACATACACAAGAAACGAACACATGCACCCAGAAGAATTAGCACGGTAAAAGTAATCCGCAAGACAGGAAACACCGAGTTCAGACCTGGTGAACTTATAAATGTCAATAACAAGTTCACAGTTATTTGGCTCCAGAAGCGAATCGTCGCCCCTCTGCTCTTTATCACACGYGGGCATCAGAAGAGGTTCGGCTGATTTCTCAGACGTGACCTGCGAGTCGCACCGCCGTCCCATCTGTCACCCTTTTTTCCCCCTCCATCACGCAAATCATGCAGATAAATGAAAGAGAAAGCCCGAGGCTGTAATCAAAGAAGCACAACATGCTCCCAGCTCTGCCATGTTCTCCGTGTGTGAAGGTGTTCCTGTGTTCCCGGGAGCTGACAGGTTTGAAAGATGTCAACTTTTAACGTGCTAACTCCAAAATCATGCAGTTTTCATGCTAACTATTACGCGTGCAGACACAAAATCATGGAGGAAGGGGAAATGAGAGGTTGTCAGKATGTGTTTTGCTTACAGAGTTGTGTTCTTTCAGATACTCAGCCGCATTCTCCTCGGCATCCCCTCCGATCTCTCCGATAAGGATGATGCCTTCTGTCTTGGGGTCCTTCAGGAACACCTCCAGGCAGTCTATAAAGTTTGTGCCATTAAACGGATCGCCGCCAATGCCTTAATGAAAAAAAAAAAAAAAACATTCTTTTGCATAATTGCAATGGAATACGTTTGTAAATATCTAAAAATCAGTAGATGGTAAAATAATGGGTGCATTTTATTTGCTATGAAAGATTTTGACATTTTGTTTTCTTTTACAAACTGTGCTGAGAGATAAAATGAAACTAAGATGGTTTGCATAAAGTAAAAGCATTACTTTATAATCCTGTTTCAAAAAAGTCAGCATTTTCCCCCTAAAGTTTTGGTCCTGACAGTAAACATCCATCTCAGCAGCACGTGTGTCTCTTGTTAGGAGCTCTGGGCAGGTAACACACAACAATAAGCTGAAGGAAGCAGTGAAACCCCCACACAGCTTAAAGGTAACAYGGCATCAGCCTGCGTCATTTTCCCACAAACAAAGCTAAGCTGGACTGCAGTTTACTGAAGTACCGCTCTACACATTTACTYTTTTTATCCTTTGACTTTGTCCTACAACTTTTATCTTTGCRTYCTACTTTAAAAAGGTGCATTTCTATTCACGAACTTCGAAAGTGTCTCCAAACCACAAGAGTGCAGAGATGATTTTCCAAAACAATTATCTAGAAGAGCAAGGGCAAACTTCTACAGAACATTACATTAGGGACACAATACCAACCGAATTTATGTTCATATAAACAAAATACACGGCAATGCCAAGAAAATAAATTATAAAATAATAATCAAGGAGACCCTTATCACCAGTAATGCAGATGAGAGGGATATTAAATTTTTCACTRACTCTAATTTGCAGCCCAGAGGACATTCGAAGATGGTACAAAGTCTCAAGCAGACCCACCAATAAACCCTCTTAATGAACTTTATAATATTTAATACAGTTGCAGCACTGGCTTTATGAAGTCTGACTGGAGGATACTCTATAATTAAAATGCTTAAATAATGATGAAACCATGCTGTAATTCTTTGAATTAATATGTACAAGCCGCTCTCTAATAAAGATTTTCCAGTGGCACGTAAAATGTTCGATTTTTTTTTTCTGAACATCACCTTTTTTATTCTCATTGTCTTGGCATGAAGTAAAAAATTGTGTCTATTTTTGTCAATAATGAAGCCAAATGTAAACAAATATTAATTATGTTTTCTTTACATGTAGAAGTAAAATCAGGAACTAAAGTGTGTGATAAGGAAAGTCCTTATTAAACAGCTGCACGTGTTCTTGGGCCTTTAAAAAAAATCAAGTCAACAAAGTAGACTCAAACATCTGATTAATTAATTAATTAAAAAAAGGACTTGCAACAAAGAAAACGGGCCCGTGTTTATCAAACTTCTTAGAGTGGAATTTTAGACTTGGGGTTTTGCAACGATGTAATCCAGGATCAGCTTTGTAGCACAGCAACGTGTAAAAAATCACTGAAGTAAGACGGAGACGCTTGATAAATGACTTTTAGGCTCAGTATTTAACTACGAATATTTTTACACATAAGTGCATTCTTAAGAGCTACCGGTAAGTTTGATAAATATGGGCCCAGATGACTAGTTAATGAAAATTTTCAAATTTGCATTTGGAAATTAAAAGGTTTATTGAATTAAGTGCAAATTAATGTGAGCTTGTACCAGGTTTGAAAAGRTGTAAATACATTTTGTTATAGTATTTTTTTTGTATCTTTTTTTTTTCAGTAACCCCACATCCTGTCTACAATCTGCTGAACAGCTGATGACCATGTTGATGTCAGAAGGTGGAACTCTTAGCTGCCATTTAAACACCACCAGCTCTGCTCTGCCCTCCCCTTCACATCTTTGACCTCCTTTTTGGAGTACATTTCCAGTTTTGTCTCCAGTGCTGTCCACTGACCCTGTGCTCTGGTTCAAATTAAAGAAGATAAACAGAAGCTCTGTTTATCTCACTTTAGCCTACAGAAAAAAAAAACATTTTGTGAATTCTCTGTCCTAAACCATAATCCAGTGTATGTCAGACAATGACAGCCAGTGACTATGAGTTACTTAATAATAATAATAATAATAATAATAATAATAATAATAATAATAATAATAATAATAATAAAGTCTGTGAAATATTAAACTACAGAACATAATCAATGAAGATGTTCAATCACATAAGTCAAGGTTCCTTTTAAGTTTATTTAAGCTTTACACACATTTTATGAAGCAAAAATATAAAGCAAATAAACATTGACCTGTCAATTTTCAGGACTTTTACATAATTTAATTTAATGAGATTAATATGTTTATTTAATGTGTGAGAGAGAAGATGGATGGATAGATAAACAGATGGATATTAAAATGTCTTTTCAACATTCTCAGTATTGAGCAACTTGTGGTGCAACTTTACCAGTGTTTGGTTCTGGTAAATTAACTTTAAGTTAAAGAAAGCTTTGCTACTGTTTGAAATATAGCAACATTAGATGAGTGAGTACTACTACAATGTAAACCCCTCCAAATCTATATTAGAATCTGTGTGTCCAGAGGTTTTACTGGTACTGTGGACATTTTCWTTCATCAGGAGTACATTTTAAAGATTTAAGTGGAGTTTCATATCAGGTCTTGTAACATTCATAGTAAGACTTAAATAAAATACATGGATGTGATGTAGAGTGTGGTAAAAAATGACAACATGTCTTCAGACCAAATGAAGCACWGACTAATTTAACATTCTCCTTAAGGCTATTCCCAGAAGCCCAGCATGTCTTACCGTAAAATTAAGTTCAAGCTAAAAGCCTCAGTGGTCTCTGAATATAAAACTAAAAGCAGCGAGAATGCTGTTTTTAAATTTTAACACACGTCACTCAGCTCACCTACACAGAGCGACTGGCCCAGGCCTACTTGTGTGGTTTGGTGCACGGCTTCATATGTCAGGGTTCCCGATCTGGAAACAATGCCTGCGGGACAGAAATTTAAAGAATATTTCAGAATGTCCACAAACACATTACAAAACTATTTCAGTCTAGGTTGATAAAATGATTAAAACATCTTGATCAGGACAGCAACAACAACAGATTATAAGAACAGAGCTCTGGAACAGCTGTTCTACACTTTGGAAATGAAGGCAGTCGATTTTTAATGAAACAGACACCCTTTAAAGGTTCACCGGCCAGCAGCAACACATGCCACTCATTAAGCTGTCAACAGCAGCAGCTCCTTCATGGGTTTAGGAAGCAAGCAAAAGAAAAGAGTTGYTAGTGGGGACTTATTTCCATTTAAAGGCTGCTACAAGAGAATATGATTGCGGACAAAGACCTTTTAATCCATCCACCCCAGTGACTTGACTGATTGGAATAGTACTGCGACATGAAAATGTCCTTTTACTCAACCTAAGAAGAAAAAAAACTGCTTTGATGAGAGCCACAGGACTATTAACAATTAGCTGATCACTGGCATGGGAGGAACTAAAGCTGCTGTCGAGCTGCTGTTAAGTGTCATCAAGCGGTGCACCGYGACAGGGATGTTTTAATGGGGCACTTCTGTCAGCATAGCTACCAAACAACGAATGCTGAGATGATTTCTGCTATTTCACTCCTAAATGAACGGCATCACAGGTACAGACACAGTGGACTGACAACTAGTCAGAAGGAAAAACAAAATACACATTTTTTTCTCGTAGGAAATCAGAGCTGAGGCCGCAKCAGACAGAGCAAAGAAATCTGTAAAAACTCAGATTTATTGGACAAGAAGATTGTCTCGAAGACTGAACGAGTGGATAAAATGTTGATTACTAGTCAATCATTCAGCTTTAATTTTTCTAACTTAATTAATTCTTAGTCTAGATTACATAATATTTATAAAAATGATGTTTAAAGAGCCTGACAGGTGATTATTTTTATACAAATGTTAAAGAAAGTGGAGATTCTCACCAATTTTTCCTTTTTTGTGAATGTGCCCAGGCATAATGCCAATCTTGCATTCTCCAGGCTGCAAAAAGACACGTTTTGAAACAAAATTTAAAAGCAAAATAAATAAATAAACTTTTTGGGTATTTGGGGCTTGAGCTCAAGTTTGAAACTATTGAAGCAACTTTTCCAGTGATTTTGAATATTTTGCTGTTTCCATTTTAAGCCATGATTTTTTTTTTTCATGGCATAAAATGGAAACAGCAAAATATTCTAAATCACTGGAAAAGTTGCTTCAATCATTTCAAACGTGAGCTCAAACCCAAACACTCTTTTTCTCCAGTAATTACAACTTTTCTCTCCACAAACTGGAATTTTTCAGCTGTGAAAATTTCTTCTTGCTCTAAAACAGAAATGAAAATAAACTAAACGTTAATACATTTTACTTGAGACACTACAAAACAAAAATTGATTCAAAAGCCAAAAGGATGCTTTTGTAAGGTCTTAGATTAGCTTTCTTGCAACTTAAAATTTTAGATATAAAACACTTTAGCGTCCAGGGGAAGATGTTTTTCACTTTCAGTTCCCTGATGCATGGCTGTGTGTTGGTGTGTGGGCTTACGTTGATGACTCCTGGGCAGTTGGGACCGACGAGGCGGGTGACGCTCTGGTGCAGGAGCTTGTGTTTGACTCTCACCATGTCCTGCTGAGGGATGCCCTCGGTGATGCACACCGCCAGAGGTATCTCTGCGTCTATGGCCTCGATGATGGCTGCTGCCGCAAACGGAGGCGGCACATAAATCACGGTGGCATCTGCCCCCGTGCCCTCCTTTGCCTGAAAGGATAAACAAAAGTTTTGACTGTGCATWTAAGATTTAAATCCTGAAGCTATGAAACAGTGCCACCTAATGTTTCTTTTCAAAAATTTAGGTTCACAAAATGTTCAGTGCAAATTCTGTCCAACTACKTTTTATTCCTTAAAATTAATGTTGTTTTAAAACATATTATAAGTTTATTTTTGCCTTTTAGTGACAGACAGCAAAAATGTAAGCCACACAAACCTCCTTGACTGAGTTGAAGACTGGCAGGCCGAGGTGCGTCTTCCCCCCCTTACCAGGAGAAACACCTCCAACTAACTGGGAGCCATAATCAAGAGCCTGCTGACTGTGAAATGTTCCCTATAAAAGGAGGAGAAAACAGGAGTCAGTGTGTATGTGCGAGTAATGAGGTAGGGCACAGCCACTTGAAACGCATCAACACTGAGAGATCACTGCAAACAGAGTTCCGAGGAAATAAACCTCCATCCTAGATTAATCACCCGGATTTAGGAGCAAAGGCTGGATTTTAAATTAGGACGAAGCTGCCAGAAAACGGTTCCAACAAGAAGAAATTGAAATGTCCTTCACAAATAAATAATGGTGCAATATTACTTTAATCTCCCTGCAGCACTTTTGGACATTCCTTAGTGACGCCAACTGTAAAATATCTTCCAAGCGAGAGACTTTCGCAAGGATATTTCACACGCTGTCACTTCCATGTGCACCTCAGAAGAAAACTCACTGCTGTATTTTGCTCTGGCTGGGTAATTTTATTGGTAACATCTTGGAAATTATTTATTAAAATTTGCAAGAAACACGGTTTGGTTAAATATTACTACTTTCTCATCTAAAAAGAACATCACCTCGGGGCCTATTTGAAATAAAAAACAAACTTGAAAAAACATCAGCTTAAAGGAGGATAAGAATTCGGGCAAAGCTAATTTTTCTGCAGATGAAAAACACTATTTACAGGTGAAGATGAAACTATAGAGATGACGTACTAATAATGTAAAAGTGCTAACAAGCCTATTAAGAGGAATTAGAAGGTATGTATYAGCATTTTTCACCTCCACTTGTAATAAACTGCTTCGCCCTGCTAACTTTGCTGTTTTTACCTCTCATTATTACCACAAACGTTGGGACAATCATTTTGAAAAATGGCTGTCTTATCAAGCCAGGAGGACACGGCTATGTGCACTCAGTAGCACTTGTTTCATTCCTCATCTTCTTTTCATTACCCCAAGTGTTCACTGGAACCATATTTAACAACTTTCTATATAAAGCTGAAGAAACAAATGAGCAAAAGGACAAAGGTGGGGGATGAAGCTGGGGAATCCATGTTTCTGGCTTATTGAACACACCACAAGACGTTTATCTTCCCTGCCTGGTTTGAAAAGACACCTGAGATTKTTCATGCTTGAAATAATAACTCGATAAACAAACAAGCTGCCATTTATGGCTAATGATTTTTGGTTATTAATTTAATGAGCAAGGGTTGTCAATGGAAAAACTGAAGCCAAGGTTCAGATAGTTACTTTTTAAATACCACYTTAAAACAAAGCAGAAAATTTGTACTTTAAAATCTTAAGTTTATGATACACAATATATTTTATAACTTATACTGATGTGTATTACAATAACTAACTAGATACTGCATAGTGGTAGCATATATGACCCCTGCATGTACGCGATACATCAGTGCACCAGAACTCAGAACTCACCAGACCAGATTTATTGGTGGGCCTGACTCATAGTCCTTTCTCAGAGCTAAACAAAAAATAAATATATAAAAAAATAAATATATGTATAAAAAAAACTGAAGCTCATATGTTGAATAGTTTTTGAGTTATAACCAGTTTTGTATAGACACCCCATTTAAGATAGTTGGGGGG